CTTGTCTTTTTGGATTCATGTGCTGTGGAAAAGGAGATTCTGTGAATATCTGGCTTCTTTTTGTCCTGTTTTTGTTTGGTTCTTTTGGGTTTCTTGAGATTTCTTCAACTTTTCCCCCTTTTTCCTCTCCTTTTTGGAAAAGGGGGACAAGAAAATTGGGTGTGTGAACTGAGAAATGTCTTGTCGGATGAACTGAGATATGAAAATGAGTATCATGAGGTATAATCTTGTAGTAGCTGAATTTAAAGAACACAAAACCAATACTGAACTCTTGTGTTCATAATCATAATCACTGTTTTTTGGGATGTTTGGAGGAGGAATTCATGAAGGTTCTGGGTTCGAGCCTTCGATGGAAATCTTTGATATCTCGTAGAGTTTATGTTGGGTTAGTCTAAGTCGGGTTGGGTTCGATTCGACGAAATAAGTAGAAGAATCACTCTTATTTGTATGTTAAGATCTGTAGAGTTTCTATGTTGTTTTATAGGGAGAATGATGGAGGTTTGGATGAAGAAGCAAAAAGACCTCCACTTTACATGGCTACTTTCGGGCAATATAAGATGCGGAGTAACATGCTTCCATCGGCTTCGGCTCGAGGTTTGAATATCGGTTTGTTTTCGAGTTTTGTGTGCTTCTATGGTGACATTGTTTAGGCTGATGAGTTGTAGCTGTGTTTTGTTTAGACTTGAGATGTTTCGACCTCGAAAGTGAGCAACGTGATGCATTGTCTCCTAGAGGAGTTTTGGAAGCCAGTTTACAGAGTTCGGAATTCGATCACGATTCTTCACATGATAGTTACCCCGAATCAGAGGTTCAATGTTCACAATCACTTTCTCACTGGAAAAAGTTCTTCAAATCATGGAAGAAACGCTCGTTTAGACGTCTAGCCTCTTTTCCACCCCTTGGGGTGCTGAAGATATCAAGAAGAGGGAACAGAAGCGAGCAAGATAACCCGGGGCTAAGCGACTTGTACAAGTTCAAGTCCTCGTTGGGAAACTTCACGTTCTCGGAGCTCCAATCTGCCACTAACAAATTTAGCCAGGGTCGGTTGCAATTTGTATTCCATATGCTCGTTACTCTTAACTTTGGTGTCGACATTGCTGATTGTTGTTCTTTTTTTGTAGCGAATTTGATCGGAAAAGGTGGTTACGCCGAGGTTTACAAGGGTCGTTTACAAAACGGGCAGCTGATAGCAGTTAAGAAGCTGACTAGAGGAGCGTCTGATGAGAGAACTGCTTGTTTCTTATCCGAGCTTGGTATCATAGCTCATATCAATCATCCGAACACTGCTAAACTGATCGGTTGTTGCATCGACAGAGGCATGCACCTTGTTTTCAAATTATCTCCAAATGGAAGTTTAGGATCTTTTCTCCATGGTGATTCCTTAAACCTTGTTGAATTAACTGTTCTTTGGCTTTCAGAATTCTTATTCACCATTCTTCAGGTCCGAACGCGAGCAAACTCGATTGGCGTAAAAGATACAAGATCGCTCTTGGTACGGCCGACGGTCTGCTGTATCTCCATGATTATTGTCAGAGGCGTATCATTCATCGAGATATCAAGGCCGATAACATTCTACTTACAGAAGATTTCGAACCTCAGGTAGCTATCATGTTCTAAATATCTAGTAAAATATCGAAGTTTACGTGCTCACACACGAGAAACACCTTCGAAAAGAGATATTAGCCCTTTGTATCTTCGTCGAACATACTCTTCGATTTACGATGAACACTATATTCTCAAATGAATGCAGATTTGTGATTTCGGCCTTGCAAAATGGCTACCCAAACAGTGGACTCACTACAGCGTGTCGAAATTCGAAGGCACATTCGGGTCGGTAGTATGCATACGTACGTTTTCCTTCTCGACGTTAATGTTTTTCTGTAGTTAACTTTCGCATCTCGAAATGTAGATACTTTGCTCCTGAATATTTCATGCATGGGATCGTTGACGAGAAAACTGACGTTTACTCGTTCGGAGTTCTACTTCTAGAGCTCATAACTGGTCGTCGAGCTTTGGACGAACTGTGTCAAAGCCTCGTTCTTTGGGTAATAACAACGCTTAAACAAACTCGAGTAGTTCATTATATATACCTTTAATCACTGTTTGAATCTTCTTTATTTTAGGCAAAGCCTCTCTTAGATACCAACAATCCTGAGGAGGTCATTGATCCTGCTCTCATTAAAAGCTACGACCTCGAAGAGGTCGAACGTGTGATTTTGACTGCGTCTCTATGCATTGAGCAGTCTCCTATTCTCCGACCTCGAATGAGTCAGGCAAGTAGGAAAAAACTACAGTACGCTTCGTCTCTTCACGTAACATGTAATAGAACACTGTGGTTTATTGCAGGTTGTCATCCTGCTACGAGGTGACAAATACGTAGCGGAGTGTGAAAAGAACACGAGGGTGCTGCTGCAACGAACGTATTCGGAAGAGCTCTTAGACGCTCAAGAATACAACAAGACGAGGTACCTAAGCGATCTTAAGAAACACAGACAGCTTGCTTTGGGGTGTTGAAAGTGAAATTGGAAGTATTCACCTAAAGAAAGAAGCTGCAAAAGCAATGTGTGTGTTAAGTAGTTAACAGAGTTTAGTTTTGGTTTCATAATCTAAATTAGTGGATCAATTGCCAAACAGCACCTTAGGCCTTGTATTTGTGCTGCTGCTGTACTGTTTCTCAATACACATTAACAAACATTAAGCTGTTTCAATGAAAGGTGAAGTTTCGACTTTTGTTAATGCCAACTAATTTTGGGTCGAGATTTCGAGCTCGGGAAATTCCGACCAACTAGTTTTTTGCTAGCTCGGTTGACTTGTTGTGGAGCTACTGTTAGATAATCATTTGGTTTTTTTGTTTTTGAAAGTTATGCTCACGAACACTACTTCCATCGTCAATTTCCTTGTTTTGTTATCGATCGGTGTATTGGAGGAAATGTTATTATAAGAATTCGAACTCATGACCTCTTACTCAAACACTTTTGAACGAAGACTGAGATTTGAAACTTTAAAGTTTTATCAAATTTATTTTTATATGAATAATTAATTGGCGATATATATTGTGAGGTCTCATATTTGTTGGAGAGTGCAACGAAACATTTTTTTTGTAGGAGTGAAAATCTCTTTTTAAAAGACGTGTTTTAAAATCGTGAGGTTAACAGCGATAAGTAACGGGTCAAAGCAGACAATATCTACTAGTGGTGGGATTGGATTGTTACAAATGGTATCAGAGCCAGACACCAGGAGATGTGCCAGAAAAAACGTTGGGCTCCTAAGGGGTGAAATGTAAGATCCTATATTGTCTAAGTAAAGGAACAAAACATTTTTTATAAGAGTAGAAACTTCTCATAGCAAAAGCATTTTAAAACTGACGCCAATAACTAACGGACCAAAGATTAGGGATTTAAGGTGGAAATGTAAGAATAAGATTTTGAATGGGACTCTTGACGAAAGAAAATGAATTGGTTCAATTGAAAGAGAGTAAGTTCTAATTCAAACAGGAGAAGAAGAAAGCCATGGAGATCTTAACCCAACAAACGATTTCACTTGAGGTGAGCTTGAATTAAGTGCACAAGGAAGCGGAGAATTTACGACACGATCGAGATAATCAATCGGGATGAAGCTGAAATGGAGGAGGCGAAGACAGAGACGGAGAATATCATTGGGAACCTGTAAAGGGAATCGAGTAAATTAAAAGAAGATACAGCTTCTTTGACTGATATGAGTAACGTCGAGAAAGTGAGGAATGAAGCATTACTATCTGAAATGGGTCGTCTTCGAGATGCTTTAGAGGAAGCTACATTAGAGAGGGATGAAGCTAGAAAGAGCTTAGAGATTGAATCAAAGATTTCACAAGAGGATTCACTCAAAGTAAAGGAGATGGAGGAGCAGATCGAGATCTTGGTCGGGGAACGGAATTCGATGGAGAGGAACTTGTTAGGAGCACAGAGTAGAATTGGTGAACTGAAAGCTAAGGTAGAGTCAGCATTGGCATCGTTGAGGAAAAATTGTATGGGTGTGTGTGATGTTAAGGAGAAGGGGCACAAGTTTGCAGAAGAAATGCAGCCCCTTGTTGAACATTTGGATGCAATAAAGGAGAAAATGGTGGAAGAAATGAAGCGACACTCGAGACCGAACGAGCCGAGGAACGGAAGAAGGTGAGTTTCTTCACCATAGTGACTGCAGCAACAGCAGTTTTGGCTGCTGTTTCTGGTGTTTATGTTGGGATAGGACCCTAAAAGCTGAGGCCATGGTTTAATAAGAAACCACATTTGACAAAATTAGATTTGATTGCAAATCTACTATTAACCCTATAAAAACTTATGAATTTCAATCAATAATGTTTTTAATGTTTTTTTTTTTTTTATGTTTTATGAATGATTCATAAAGTTAATAGGTAAAAATTCCACACTTACCATATGCACGTTTTTATTCTAATTTCTTTTTCATTAAAACTCTTTGAATGGTTGGAAAATTATATGATGGAACTTTACATACTACCACTAAATCATAAATATATTCGAGATAGTTCAATGATCCCTCGAAAATTTGTTTGGAGAGAACATTTTTTCTTTCGACAATACGATTCTTCTTAATTTTAACTTCAACATAGCTCAAATGGTTACTCATTCAAGAGACACGGAGATTCAAGTCCCTCTATCCCATATGTTAAACTCGAAAAAGAAATAAAGAGAGAACATATCTCAATGTCTATATCTCCCCATGTCTCCAAAGCCTCACCTCATATGTATAACTTTCTATCCTTTATGAGACAATTGATAATTCATAGCATTAAGATCTCTAGATTTAGGGCAAAATGAAGGAGATTACACTTGCCTCCCTCTTAGGTTAAAAGAAAAATTGTATTGTAATTTCAGAACCTTAACAACATAGACCAAAATGAACACTTCACAACATCAAGGGACTAAATTTGACATTTATGGAACGAAATTTGAATCCGAATACTCACTTTGTCTAAGTAGAGCATTAGAAACCTATAAAGTTTACGTAACTAGCTAGTGTTATAGAAATAAAACGATTGTGCCACGTAAATAATGTCGATATAGACATTTTTAACTGATTCAAGATTTTCATCAAATCTAATTGTAACCATCCTCAAATTCTGTCTTCTTCCATATTGTTACAACTAAACAACGCATCGGAAAGAGGTGCAACAACGATTAAGATCGCCAGTTCATAGAGCAATCTTCCAAGTAAGCACTCACCAGCAATCCAATAACAGCCAAAACCCACTTTCCCATTACCAATAAGGTAAGATAAACTCCAACTGCACAGTGAGAGTTTGAGACAATTTGATTCTCAAATGAAGTTCATGTGCTACATGGAATTCGGAATTCCAGCCGAACCTTAAAAATGGAAACTACAGTTAGCGATACGAGAATGATGGACCTGGAAATGAGTACCGTGATGAAACCGGCATCATATCACTTCCCACATTGTCAAGATGCATCTCATTGTAATGTGATGGAGCACCAATGGCATGTCTCATGGGCTCAATACCAGTAACATAACTTCTTGAATAAGTTGGAGGGGCGGCTGGTTTGTCCCTCATTGAAGGAAGCAGGTATGGATCGGTTGAAGGAGGCAGATATGGATTGGTTGAAGGAAGGCCATATTGACGAGTGTAAATCAAATCATAAGCATTGCGTTCTGAACCACTAGCAGATATTGATCTAGGAGGTGATATTTGTGGTCTAGAATCAATACTGTAAACTGGATAATCTTTTCCATTAAAGTATACATGATCCTTGCGAACTATTTCCCTCTGTGCGTATGCAGAGACATCATCCCTGTATCTGAGCTCTAGATGTCTAACTTGATAGTCCCTATCATGATCTCTGTGGTATGTTTCTAAAGAAGGCCGAGGCACAGGATCTAAATTTCTTCTCTCTTCCCGGAGATCATAAGTTCGATAGTCCTTTTCATTTAGGTAAAAATCACGAGGAACTTCCTCTCTATGTCTAGGTGCCTCTTTTCGTTGTCGATCCCTTCCATGAGATGACAAATGGTATTTCCTGGCATCACCACCCTTGGACTTAGAGTTACTAAACCGAATGTCTTTAACTTCCCCATGAACATTTCTATCCCTAGTTAGTAGCTCTGGATGGAACCGAATAGGAGCAGAACTCGAGTGAAGTCCAACTGGTCGGAAAAGATCTGAGAGCTTCCTAACCTGAAAGATGAAATCCTACAATGTCATCACAGGGAAAAATAAATTTAAGAGTGCTTTTGAAAACCCAAGCTAGCAGAAGAAACCTGACACATCCACCTGTTTAACAGAGAGTTCAGCTTTGAACTTGTGCTTCTCATAATAATTCTCTTGGATAGCCTTCTTGAAAATGTTCTCAGGTAGTGGAAAACAATCCTTGTAAACCTTGAACCGTACCTGAAATTTCAATTTTGTAATTGAGAAATTATCCTAAGCAGATGAAAAGAACAGTTTCGGGAGTAGTTTATTATAGCTAACAACAAAACATGAACCTGAGCAGGGAATGCCCCATTAAAAGCCTTTGGCTCAAGTTTCATGCCACCGGAAGAGGATGCTTCATAAATTCCATATAGAAGCCTGAGATCAAAATCATAGAGAAAAAGCTTCAATCCAGGTTTGATTGCCAAGACAACATCCAGTTTGCCAGCAGAAACACCCATTAAGTTGTAGTGAAAACAATCTGGCTTCGTTTTTGCACTGCACATGAAAATCAATCCACCAAGATTTTCTTTGTTTTTATCATCTCTTCGACTCTTTTGCGCTCTATCCTTTTCTTTCCTTTTCTGATTTTTTATGCTCTTATCTGAAGAACCAGCCTTCTCTATATTCTTCCCTTCTTTTATTCTATTTTTAAGCTCAGAATTACGTTTATGCCTAGCAAAAGTCTCTTCACCCTTTTCCATACGCTCCTCTTTTGAGATACTTTTATTAATATTTTCCTTTTGGTTAGCCTTCTCAATATCTTCGACCTTTTTTTCACTACCTTCCCCATTTACCAGCAACACACTCTTATTATTCTCCAGTTTCTTTCTGACTTGCACCTTAGGACTACTCTGAAGCTTATAAGTCTGTTGACTGCTGCCTGGAGATTTCTTCAGAATTTTCCTTTTCACCTTCAAATCTTTATTATTCTTCATCTTTGACGCTGGTTTGCTGGAATTTGCAGTGGGATTCTGAGCTTCAAGAGTTTCTCCCACTTCTTGAGCTACAGGAACCTCTTTTTCCTTTTTGTCGTCTTCCTGCTCAGCCTGTGCCTTTTTTTTCTTCAACATACCGCTAGCTGGGGATTTCTTTATAATTTTTCGTTTTACCTTCAAATGTTTTACAGTTTTCTTTTTATGCGACCCTTCTCCAATGCACTTTTCAGCAGACTTCTCAGCTTCAGTCGTGTTCCCAACTTCAGTCACAGCTTCTTTCATGTCATCTACTTGTTCGGTAGGAAAGTCTTCTTTCATTTTGCTATCTTCTTGCACTGCCGAAGACGCTGCTTCTTTCTTCTTATCTTCATGTTCTGTTGAGAGCTCTTCAACATTTCCCTCAGTTTTCTGTACATCAGTTCTACCAACTTCCTTCTCCGCAGATTCAGGCAGAGCAGAATCAGCTTCCATATTTGAATCTTGTTTCATGATCTACTCACATTTACATAATGCCAGAGTCAAAATTGCTACACATCTTATTCCTTTTTCAAACTCTCTCATCAAAGGAAGTAAAAGAGAGATGCAAAAATCAAGTGGAAGGAGTCTTCAATACAAATCAAGGGTGCAGTCATGCAGATAAATCACCAAATATAATGAGTATTGAACACTCTTTGGCCAGTACTATGCAATTTGTGCTACCAGATGTGTGATTAGCCGCTTCAATGGGATCTTTTATTCTGGTCAGACGAGAAATTACCAAACATCTAGTATTCCCTTACGCTCGATGCCAATTAAGTTTTTTTTTAGACATGGCACATTTTGAACTCAATGAGAATTTTTTTTTTTTTTTTCTTTCTATACCATTAGGTTATGCATCGAAAGAGTAGTATGAGATAAATAACATTTCCGAATTTAGCCGACTTATCGAAGGCCTCTTTTAGCGTCATAAACTTTTATCTCTTTAAAAGCTCCCTTGCGGCATGTACTTCAAGAGGCGTAACATTAGCGCCTTGGCATTTCCGAATTATTTTAATATAACAGCCCAAGCCCACCGCTAGCGGATATGGTCCTCTTTGAGTTATACCATTTGGACTTCCCTTCAAGGTTTTAAAACACGTCTACTATGGAGATAGGCCATAGTTATTCAGACCCCTGACGCACATTTGAGAGATCCCACATCGGTTGGAGAGGGGAACGAAGCATTGCTTATAAGGGTGTGAAAACCTCTCCCTAGTAGACGCGTTTTAAAACCTTGAAGGGAAAGCCCAAAGAGGACAATATCTGCTAGTGGTGGGCTTGGACTATTACAAATGGTATCAGAGCTAGTCATCGAACGGTGCGAGGCACTGATCGGAGTAGGGCTAGACCCTCTCCAAGTAGACATGTTTTAAAACCTTGAGGGGAAGCCTAGAAGGGAAAACTCAAAGAGGACAATATCCGCTAGCAGTGGACTTGGGCTGTTATAGATGGTATTAGAGCCAGACACCGAGCGGTGTGCCAGCAAAGACGCTGGGCCCCCAAGGGGGTAGATTGTGAGATCCCATATCGGTTGGAAAGGGAAACGAAGCATTGGTTATATGGGTGTGGAAACCTCTCCCTAGCAGATGCATTTTAAAACCTTGAGGGAAAGCCCAAAGAGGACAATATCTGCTAGCGGTAGGCTTGGGCGGTTACATTTAACCTTTTTTTTTTTTAAGAAAAATATCCCTATATGCAAAAATCCTTGCTTTTATTTTTTTTCATGCCCATAATCCCCTTATGGGTGTGATACCCATTGGTAGTCGTACTTATACAACACAACAAGGGCTTGTGGCAATACCCATTCACGGTAGACCTCTCCTCCATCTCCTTTACATTATTTCTTCTCATTTCTTCTCTAGATCTTGGCATCAGGGAGCTGTGTTCTCTTGAGGCCCTAACCTTAAATGGCTTCTTAATTACTTCTATTTTATTAGAATAAATATCCCTAAATACAAAACCCTTGCGTTTTTTCCAATCCCCCCTTTGGCCATACTTAAACACAACAAGGGTTTGAAGCGATACCCATTCACGGTAGACCTCTTCTCTCTATCTCCTTCACATTTTTTCTTTTCATTTCTTCTTCACTTCTTTGCATTAGGGAGGTGAGCTCCTTGCCTATTCTTAAGGAGGTGTGCACCTTACCTATGGTTAGAGAGAGAGGTGCTAGTTCTTGAGGCCTAGCAAAGGTGCACGTCTCAAAAGCTTCTCTATAATTTTTATTTTTCTTTTAGGAAAAAAAAAAATCCTAAGCAAAAACCTAGTATTTATTTTTTCAATCCCCTAATGGACGTAAATTCCCAATGGCAGCAGTACTTAAACAATGCAACAAGGGTTTGTGACAATACTCATTTGCGGTTCTTCTTTGCATTTCTAAGTTCTTCTTCGTGCTGCTTCTTTGATATACCTTGAATTTTTGTTATTGTTATTTTTAGCGTGCATCCTACGGGCCAAGGAGTAGATGACCACACCTAGAAAGAGACTAAGCAATCAAGGACTGCCAATAATTTGTTATCTTGAGGAGGGTAAAAAGAATTTTGTGTGGTTTGAGCACCACCAAATAGTTGTTGCTTTACATAGTCTCAAAGTCTATTCAACGAAGATATCCTATTTTAAAAGCTTCTTTGATTATGCTCCTTCCATAACAGCCATACGATAACCCTTGCTGCAAATTTCCAAAGAATTCCAATTTTCCCAGTACAGTTCTTCCCCCAAGGCTCTGCGTTAATGTATTTTTTTATACATAGAAATAGCAGCGAATCTACATAGCAGCTAAACAATAACCCTCATTGGATGTTTACTATTATGTATATGTACATCTACAAATATATTTAGTGTAACTCAAACACAGCATGCTTGCCAAAAAAAAGTTTAAAAAAATAATAAATAATAAACTAAAAAAGAAGCATGCACTGCACAGCCCTATAGGACTATTGCACACTTCAGTGCATCTCGAGCTTTACAAAATCTACCTTTGGCTCCTCCCAACAGATTCCTCCATAAGAAAAATTGAAAACAGTACTTAAAGTCAGCCATATCCATACTATCAACATAAATAACAGTATTCCCCAAATAAGCTGTAGACTTTTTTTTTTTTTTTTTTTTTTTTTTTTTTTTTTTTTTTTTTTTTTTTTTTTTTTTTTTTTTTTTTTTTTTTTTTTTTTT